TTGACAGCCACAACATTTTATGTCTATTTATTTAGAAATATGTCTCAGTTTGTGTTAATGTGCTAATATAGGCTGAAAAATATAATATAAACAAAAACGCAGACTTATTTTGCTCTGCTTTAAGCTTTAGCTCAGCTATAGCTACTTTTCTCGCAACTCTGGCAGGAAACTTTTCCAAAAGTGGAATAGCTTCTTGTAAAATGTCTCTCAAGGTTTGATTTTTATGAGTCAGCTCCTCCTTCGCCAACTTTGTGTTTGACTTTTCCTGATCCACCTTAAATGGTGCAGCAGGCACTACTAAAGGTGGAATGGAAAAATTTGAATGAGAGGCTGACTTTAGCTTCATGACTTTTTAGTGTTTGACAGTCGTTGCAGATTAAATATATCAGGAAATGAGCTGAGTGCTTATAACTGCAAATAAGTCCATTCATCTCTAAATTATCAATGCTCATCTTAAATCTTTCTCTTTGCCATTTCGTTAGCTACTAGTTAGGCAAGACTGTTGTCTGCGTTGCTATGTGACCAGCTGTCTGTGCACCAACCCTTCAGGGTTAAAGGGTGAATTAGCAGTTATACATTAACTCTAGCATTTAAGACCATTTATTGTTAAACTGTGTTGAACGATCAGCAAAGCTTTATTTTACTGCAAAAAAGGATTATTTTACTTTTACCTAATTCTGCTCTAAGTCTAATTCTTCCATGGAGCTGCAACAGGGCAGTGAAAGAGCCACATGTGGCTCAGGAGCTGCATGTTGCCAACCCCTGATCTATGGCATTGCACAAAGAACCCTTCTTGGCACTTTAATTTAAGAGTGGATGTTGAAATTTATTAAAAATGAATCAAAATATACTCATCTATACTATACTAATGAACCTCTTAGAATTAAGGATGATAACCCAATTATCAACCTTAAGACTTATTATTCAGTAACTGCTTTCAAACTAAATGTACTTACAAGTGTGAGAGGTGTAGGGGTTCAATTGCACAACAATAAAAAAATGCCATTATCATAACAAAACCTCTTTCTCACAAATAGTCATTTTATCAGAGACAGAAAAAAACGTTCTTGACTTTAAAGCATGTTAATGAGATTTTATTTCTAGTGGTTTTATATCGCTTCATTGGTCCATCATAAACAAATAGGTCAGCTGGCATTTTCAAAAGGTATAAAAATTAAATCAGAAACATTGTTTTGATATGACAGCGACAATCAAAGTGTGTCTGAAAAATAAAGTGAATAAATATGTAATTTGAAGACATTTTCACAAGTGCCATTTTTCTTTCACACAGCTGCAGTGAAAACCTCAGGCCTGCATAAAGCTCCGCACATAATGTCTTGCAATGTGTTACATGTGAAAGTGCAACCTTTGCATGTGATTTCCCCTGAGGGTGGGCGGCAGCGCTGTGGTTTTGCAGGCAGGAGAAGCACATCACAGCAAACCCTCAATCAGCATCGGTCAAAGTGAAGTGGGCGGCACACATGTTGCCCGTGTTAGGTCAGCTCTAAGATGCTCACCGGACCAGGCGGATTGGTAACAACAAATAGGCTCAAATGAATTCAGGTCACCTTAAGCCAGTGCTTACATGCTTTAACACTCAGCGTGATTATTTACACCTCAGAGCTCATATAGTCTAATAACTAATATGGTCTCATACTGTGGACTGAGCACTGACTCTCAACGTGTGTAACGAGACAGACACAGACACGCTTATGAATAATTCATCAAATTAATAATAAAAAAAGCACTTATAAAATCACTACTAATGGAGCTGTTTAAGCATATCCTATAGGCTCGGCTCTTATAAACAAATGAATAGACAGACTGACTATTTCATGTATATATATACATATATATATATACATGTATACTGTGCAGAAAATATCAGGAATGACCAGTGATACCAACCGATACTGATACATGATACGTGCTTGTGTAGTTCCTTCAGAGCTACACTATAAGATTCATTGGTTGATTAATTAATTTATTGTTATATTTATAGGAGCCACACCTATAAGCATATATATGCATGTAATCAATTAACAAAGTAATAAATAAACCAATGACTTTTTAAAAAGCATCTAACAGCATGGGCTACTAATGCCACTGTTAAACCACACCTTAGGCTAGACTAATATAAATATGATAAACAATCAATACAGTAATTAATTAAGCAGTGACTGGACTGCTAATGGGACTGTTTAACTATTTCTTACAGGCGTGGCACATATAAATATAACAATAAATGAATTAATCAACCAACGAATCTTATAGTGTAGCTCTAAAGAAACTATGCGAGCATGTATCATGTATCAGTATCAGTTGGTATCACTGGTCATTCTTGATGTTATTTTCTGCTCAGTATTTTTTCCAAGTATGTCTAACCGTCTGTTGCAGCAGCCGAGCCCTCAAGAATGAAGATGAGAACAGTCTGCTGAGAGGACGACAGAAATGCTGCTTTTTTCACTCACGCGTCTGTCCAGACATCAAGACGGGAATCTAATGATCACCTCAGTCTGCGTTTCTCTGCCTGAAAACAGTGGAGCTTTTACTTTTCTTACTTTTCTATGTAAAACTGATTCATTCACAGTCTAAACTACTTCAGTTTGAGAGGAGGTCAGTTAGCTTTGTTTACGCTGATGTACTGTATTTATGTAAAAGTGTACTGCAGTTTTAGCCCCTGATCATTTTCCTTTTTATTGCCTAGCCTCTTCAGTGCTGTCTGTACACATAAAAAAAGCTTTTTCTTAACAGACTCTTCTCATAGTCATTTTCATAGGAATCAGCTACTACAACAGACAACAATATCAAGAAGTACAAGTGACTATAATAGCATATGATTTTGTTTATAGAAGCCTTGGAGATGGGTTAATGATAAACATGTACGCTATTTAATTTTGAACTAACTGCTTTTTGAATTATTCATTAATTTGTTCATAAGAATGCTTAGGCCTAGACCTACTAAATTTAGAGATCACCCCTCATTTATTTAACTTCCAGTCAAAACGGCCATTAAGTACAAGTTACACATTATTCTAGAGACATAAAGCTCTTTGAGGAGATTAGATAGAAGATTGCACTTGCATGATGAAGGAGAAAGTCATTGAAAAATAAGTTTAAAAAACTAGTAGTTTTTAGTTACTGGAGTTCAAAAAGTATTAAAGTATGTCAAACAATGATTCCAAATGTTGAGACTTTGCAGACCACCAAAACTGTTCCATCAGATAAACAGCACTTACAGTTTTCAAGCTTCAGTTATTAAGCTTCACTCTTGCTTCAGATCTGAAAAAATCCACAGGTCTTTCACTGTGAGCAGACAACTCAGCGCTATGAGTCTAAAAGGATGTTTAGCTTCCAAGAAGCCCTCACTGAGAAAAGGAAATAGACAGAAGCAGAAAATGCAACCAACTTCTAAGACTGAACTTTGGAGGCGTAGAAAAACATCCCAGCAGATTTCTTTTAAAAAACAGCATGCAAGCTGTAATGAAGGCAAAGCTTTCTGTGAAATTTCCTATTAAATATATTTTTATTGGAGAAAAATGAAAAACTTGTGCTAAACCATCACTTTGACTGGAATCAAATGAAGGAAGATTACTGTAACGGTACATTACTGTAAATGCGTCCCAATACATTGAAACTCAATGAAATACATCCTAAATCTGTTATATTGTAGAGGCTTTTCTGTGCTCTATTTATTTAAGTATTTATTTATTTTAATATACTCTTTTTAATGTTCAGTGCTCACCACAGATGACCATCCATCAGTGGGACCACCACTCACAGACCCCAAAGCCCACTGCATAAATCTGAGCTCACTTGCACTCTCCTGTGCTTTCTTTCCCCGTAAACCTCACCCAACACACTCATACACTTCTGCTGCACCTCCTCCCCACCACACACCCTAGGTTAAATCAGCCAGGACAGAGAGAGAGAGAGAGGGAGAGAGGGAGAGTAGTAAGAGGAGAGACTGACAGAAACAGCGAGAGAGACAGAGAGAGAGAGAAAGGAGTGAGAGGAGAGAGACTGACAGAGAGAGGAAAGAGAGAGAGACTGGCAAAGAGCGAGAGAGGGAGAGAGAGAGAGAGAGAGAGAGAGAGAGAGAGAGAGAGAGAGAGAGGAGAGAGAGAGGTAGGGGAGAGGAGAAGAGAGCGAGATTCAGACTCTCACCATCCACACAGCACCGTGCACGCGGGAGAAGCGCTCGCTCTCGCGCTCCGAGCTCTACTCTGGTGGAAGAAGGAAAAACACGAGCTTAACGTTGGAGCCCACGTGTTAGTGAGCTAAGAGAGACTGCTGGGAGAGATATAGCCTCATTTTTCTCCTGACACACACACAGCGAGGGAGAGGGAGAGAGAGAGCGAGCGAGCGAGAGAGAGAGCGAGCGAGAGCGCGCGTGAGCGAGCGACCAAACCGAGGACTACATGGCTCTGCAGTGGAGCCTCGCGCGGGCTGCAGTTGAGTAGAACGTGACTTTAGCAGAAGTGCGGCGGCTCTGTGAGAGACAGCAGCTGCGACACTGACGCTGAAGCGGCCGGAGAGTCCTGTTTCCGCTCAGCCTGAACATGGCTGGCGCTTTGGGGAACCGCTGAGAGCTGAAAGAAGCTGACTGGAGGAGACGCTGTCACTGTAACCGCTGTTTTTCCACGGCGTGTTCAGTGCGGGCTCGTGCGCGGCTCGGGGTTTGTTTTGCTCGCGCTGCATGAGGAGCCTCGCAGCGAGCCGCTTCTGATCTGGTCCGTCTCTCACAACGAGAACATCAGCCAACATGTCGGATTTCTGCCCGTCCTGTGGCTCGCTCCCGTCCGGATTTCTCTCTCTCCGCTCCTTTTCGTAAACATTTTGGGTCGCTCGAGGCGAGAGAGAGAGAGAGAGAGAGAGCGCTGTTTATTAATTTTTAATCTTTATGCATCCGCACGAAGACGGAGGAGCGCGAGAGGAGAAGAGAAACGGGAAGAGTGAGACTGAGAGAGAGAGAGAAAGAGAGAAAGAGGAAGAGAGAGAGAGGAATGAATGAGCTCCAGTGAAGAAGGGAGGAAGGAGAGATTGTAGGAATCAAGGTAAAGGTATGGAGGTTTCTCTATGGCTTTAGCATTCACGTTCATAGTGTTCATACGTTCGTTCATTCACTTAGCACGTGACTCAGTACATACGTGCATGTATGTGTACGTGTATATATATATATATATATATATATATATATATATATATACGCACATACATACATATATGTACATATGTACTTAAGCTATGTATATATATATATATATATATATATATATATATATATATATATTATGTATGTATATACTCTCTATAGTGTGCCTGTATATATGTGCGCGCGTGCTCTTGCAGATTTACAGTGCATAGTTTATCCATAGTGCGTCAGCATTGTCACTTTCCAATTTGTGTTGGTCTATATTGGATACAAATTCGCTCATTTGTGCTGCATATTGGTCATTCATGGACTACACTGCACTAATCCTACTCTTTTTCCTCCTTGCTACGTGTCTATAGGCTCGCCTTAAGGCTGGCTAGTATGTACTGACCACAAACGCTGTAGGGCACGCACTTTAAAAAATACCCCAAAACAGACCCAAATGAAATGAGATCGTTTCCACTCTACACCTTATTAAAGGCGCTTTTATTCGACTGCACTTCAGATGATTGTGATGTCTGGGTGTTCATGTGTGCGCGCGCGCGTGCGTGTGTGGATCCCGTGCACGGGGGAAAGCTGCAGCACTGCTGAGGTTGATTCAAGCTGGGGGATTCTGTACTGGAGCCACGCTGTTTATTACTGTTTACTGAAGTGCATGAGTGATGTGCTAATCTGGCCTGGATGAATAGCTGACATCACAAACATCATGCCGTCCTGGGGAAAAGAGAAGAGGAGAGAGAGTGAAGGTTACTGTCCTTCCTCCTTCTCTCTCGTCCTCTGTCTGTGATGAACAGACACCTTTTTCTTTTATCATTAGGCTCCACGCTGCGTGTTGGACAAGAAAATCCGCATTAGAGCGCAGTGGAGCTGCTCGTTAGGGCCTAATGGACGGGACCCAGTCCTAATCATAATCCGGAGATAGCACAAAGCTTGGGGCCTAAAGGAGGAGAGCACGCACTCATACATCAGGCTTCAGCCCCACGACGCACACCGCAGGCTACAGGTCCCTATGCAAACTCTACACCTGCCTGCTGGACAATACAAACTGCAAATTAATGGATGCAAATGAACTACATGGTGTAAATTAACACATACTTTAGACCGCAAGCTGTAAATTAATAGATGGATTAGACTGCAGACTATAAAATAATGGATGCTTTAGGTTGCAAACTGTGAATGAAAAGATCATTTAGACTGCAGGGTGGAAATTAGTACATATGATGGACTACTAGAAATAGCTAATTGAGACTACATTGCAACATTTTTTAACTACGGAGCAAAAGGGAAGACTACACACTCTAAATTACGAGATAGTTAAGAAATACTTCAACCTACAGATTGTAGAAGAGCAAATGCTTTAAACCTATAGGGTCAGTTTTCCGAGAATTAAGCCTAGTCCTGGACTGCATTTTGCTTTCAACGGAGAATCTCCATTCAGAATGCTGCATAGGCCAGGACCCTCAATGTAGTGCTTTAATATATGCTTTTGCGTACATTATTATTCTAAAAAAATAACTAGATATTTTTGACTGCAAGTTGATACGATAAAATACATCGCTAATTTAGACTGCATTCTGATTTCATAGATATATGCATCTACGAAGCCAAAAATCAGATGTACTTTAGGTCACATACTTTAAAATAATGTAGAATTTGGTCTATATTCTGAATTAACAGATGGTTTAATCTATGGACTGTAAATGAGTAGATGCTTTAAACCTATACGGTCACTGTGACGGTATTTAAGGTCCTAGTCCTGGACTACATTATTATTCAGTGGAGAATTTCCATACAGAATGCTGTCTAGTCCAGGACTTTATCCCTCTCAAGGAAACATTGTCAGAAAATAACTATATATTTTAGCCAGTGTAAATGAAGGGAATATTAGAATAAAATAATAGGGTAGGCGATGTTAAGCATGCAAAGCGGGTTTCTGAAAACGACTGGACGGCTGACATTCACATTATTTCACTGTGCTGACCCAAACGAGGAAGCAGCGGGTAGTCAGCCTGCCACTGTGGACGTTATTGTTTTTCGTCTAGACTTCGGCTATCAATACCTTGGGTCGTTTTTTAAGGGCGCGTGCTGAAACCGGCCTCAGACTACAAAAGAGGGTTTTTTTTTCCTGTGGAGAATTCTCACCAGGCAATGAAGTTAGAAGGGCTTTTTTTCAAATTGCGACTGCAATTTTGTTCGAATCTAAGATTAGTTGGTTGGGAAAAGTGAGCCCCTCGACGTTTAGAGTGGGTATCAAACGCCGCCGGTCTGCCAGGGCACTATTTTAGAATCTGGTTAGCTGCCAAACATACTCGTCTGGAGAGCTGGAAGGATTTATGTCTTTCTGTCTGTGTGTCACATCACTATCAGAACAATTATTCTAAGCTTTCAATGGATGAATAATAGTCAGGCATTAGGACAATATTAATTGGGGCCTCGGTTCTTGTAATGTGCCAGTAATCGGAGAGAAATTTATCTCTATCATAATTTCTCCACATTTTTTTTTTTTGGGCAAGGCTGCTTGCGGCGTATTTTATGTGATAAACAAGATTGGGGCATTTGTGTTGGGTTTTTTCAAGGCCGTCTTTGCCTAAACTAATGGCTTAATGGGCTCAGCTGGATGATTTAGTTTGTAGCTGAATGAGATTTCACCAAAAACATAAATTGTTATTCTCTATAAAAGCATTTTGCACTCCTACCCGGAGTTGCTGAGCATTGCACGATTTGGGGTTTTTCCTGCTTTGACAGCATATTTAAACACTTTACAGGTCGGTTGATGTGGGTCGTATGTGTTGGGAACAAAGTAACTTGGTAACAAAGGACTTGGATTGATTACTATGATCTGTAATGACAGGGCTCAATGTATATTAGGAGTGGGTGATGTGGCGAAAATATGTCACGATATATGTCACAAGATGTGTGTCACGATATATGTGTCTCTTTTTTTTTGAGGTTTGATAAGTTGGAACAGTCAAAAAAGTACTGTATTTATGAAAGTACTATCAAAAACTATGAATACAGTGATTTTCATTCAGCATTTTCAGCACTAATTATGCTCTCTTTGTAATGAAAAACTCACTTGATCAGTGTTCAAGGACTGACCGTGTCTACAATAGGTTTAGAAAATTGAAACGTGAAACAGTTTGTCATGATAACGTTACATATCGTCATATTGCCCACCACTAGCTACATGATATGTAGGCCCACATTGCTATTTCATTGACACATATTGCAATTGCAATATGGCTTGCATATCTGCATCATTTTCAGGGATGCATGTTGATACAAAATCATATCGGTATCGGCAGATAATTGCTTAAAAAAACATCAGCACCAGACGAATGCTTGTATTTTTAGATGTTTATGTTTCCCCAATATCAGATCAATATCTGTACTCTGGAAGATCAGAATGTGTAGGTGACGTGGGGCTAATTTGCTAAAATTATATATTTTACTGCTTTTGTAACCCATCAGATATAAATGTAATGCAAGTTTCTACAATTTCTGATCATATATCAGTATCGGAATTAGCATTAAAAATATTGGATGTCAGCATCAGCCCAGAATTCCAATATCGATACATGTCTAATTATTTTTGTCCAAAATGATTGTTGTTTGCTGGATCCTACACTCTTAAAAGGTAGAAGTGTTCTTTAGTAAAGAAAATGGTTCTATATAGACCCATGAAAACTCAAATAACCCTTTGCATGATTAAAGGGTTCTTTGCATCATGAAAGTGTTCCTCAGATTGATGGAGACTGTGCTGTAGATGGTCCTACATAGAACCTTTTTGAAAATATGATACGATATCAGTATCGTAGAGGCTGATGTTGCTATACAACTGACAACTCAGATATTATGCAGCCCTACTGTGCATCCACAAATAATAACAAGCTTTTTTCCACAAGAAAGCCTGTGAATCTAAGCCAACCAAAACCGTACCAGTCCATATCCCCAGCAGCAGCCGGTGGTATATCAACACCTCTGTTCAGTGTTGTAGCTTCAAAGTCAAAGCTTCAAATTCAAACATGTGTTTGCACCTTTTTTTTCTTGAGTCTGTAAAGGCAGTTCAGGTTCTTCATGAGAGTCTGTCCTCTGCTGTTGGAGTGAACACTTCCAGTATATTCTCTATGAGTCGGATTTTTTCTTGGTGAATTGCTTCTAAAACAGGATTTCCATCCCGTGAAAAAAGGCAGAAGTGCAGGAAACTATGCACCATGTCCTGATTTGAACTGTCAGGCTGCTGGGAAAAATGACTTGCCTGCATTTCGGCTCTTGCTGGACTGCATTTGTCCAGTGTTGTTCTCAAGCGTGTGCGGTTGCATTAGGTAAATGGTGGAATTAAAGGTGAACGATATTGCAAAAATGACATTTTCACAATATATATTTCTTTCGTTTGGTACATCAGTAAATAGCAACACATTTCCACGTTTTTGGATGGAACATGAGGGAAAATCGACTACAGGATGATGTCATAATGGGCAAACAGCCAATCAGCTACTTGATACTAAGCAGTTTATGATTGTTGTTGTTTACAAGCTCACTGCAATTTCTCTTTCTTTTCTTATGATATATGTGGTTGTTAAGCATTCTAGAATTGTGGGCGATACCCATGATGTACTGAGAAAAGCACATTGTGACGTTATTTATCACACAGAACCATAACACATCAACATATTTCCCACCCCTTGATGAGCCTGCTTGGTTAGAGGACGTGCGTTTGTCATTGTACCTCATTTTCTATGTCTAGCGTGTGTTCACCACAGGCCCTGATATTGTCCCTATTTTATTTTATTTTTGACCTCATGATCTACAAGCTGTTTATTTTACGTATAATACCCATCTCTCCATCACATTCTCTTTCTCTCTTTCTTTCATTCTATTCCTCACGTCTCGCTTCCCAAAGGGCCA